TATGCTCAGTCCCCCTTCTCACCGACACCCCAAAGAACAGGTTTCAGTCCCACCGTCAGTCCCCAGAGTCACTCTCCGTGTCACAAACACATTCCCCTTCCTCTCAAACATCGGAACAAGAGCCCTGCGCTCAGCCCCGACTCTGTCAAGTCCCTTCTAAAGCACGAACCGATTCTTAGAGTAAGAACTGGAAGTTTGAGGGAGTTTTCTTTTTAAGTTTTTTCTTTCTTTCTTTTCCTGCTTGAAGTTTGAAGGAGTTATGTTGCTTTCTAGTAAAAAAAAAAAAAATGTTCCTAGAAATTATCTAAAAAGGGGGGAGGAGAAGGACCCACTTTCCCCAGTGATGTGATGACAACTTAATAAATAGCTTCGCCCTGAAAGGAGGGAATCCTGGGAGGCGGGCCCTGCCAGCCGGTACTTGCGACTGAGCATACAGTGTGACAAACGCAGAATTAAATCGTGTGACATCCCCTTTGGGGATCGTTTCGTTCCAGCGTCTTCGAGATACTGTTTTTAACACGGACCAAAGGAAGGCAAGTAGCTCCCACACAAACATACATGGCAAGGCAAGCAGCTCAGCACTCATTGGAGCCCATGCAAGACCCGGCTTTATCAGGCGCTCCAGACCTGAGCCGATCCAATGACTTCCAGGAACAGAAACTATCTCCCAACGCATCAAGTTGGCACCTACCACCTAGCACAAAGAGGTCCAACTGAAACAGAAAATAAACTATTAAGGAAATGAATTCTGCATAGTCACCTCTTTCGATGTCATTCCGATCTGGGGCAGATGGAAATGATGTGTTTACACACGCAAGCGCGTACACACGTTTGTAGTATATTCTCTATCAAATACTGATGGCATTTCCAACCATGCATTGCTAAGAAAAATAGTCTGAGGTACCTAAAATACGAAGCCCTTTTAATGAGGATAATGCACAGATTAAGAAGGCAATAGGGAGAAACGATCTAAATAATTCTTTGAAGGGCCCTTATTATTCAAGCTTCTCTTTTGTGTGTGTGTAAAGGGATGCATCGGTGTTAAGATTATATATTCCATTTCCTTTCTGGTTTAAGGCAAAATACCTTGTTACAAATCTAAAGTAACCCTACCATCTCCACATCATTAAAGGCCGGCAAGCATATCAATTCTTCCTTTTAACATGTTAACAAGCTAATTCGACTAAGGTCCCACCCACCTACCTGCACCCAATCTTTGAGTTTTGCCCTAAATTCTAGGGTGGTATATAGCACAGGAAATAGAAAATACTGGGCAAATTGTACTGCTACAAAACCCCGTAAATTAGAAATAAAGGGAATTATATTTCAGATAATCCAGACACAGAGAAAAAAAAACCACCACGAATCAAATAAAAAACCAAGCTGCCTTATCGAACAGCCGTGAAAACAAACACGGCAGATTGTGATCAATCTAAGCCATCTCTGGCCGTGTCTGTCTAACCTCACACAGGTGATGCTGTTCCATCGGACTGTTTTGTGCCAAAGAGTATTTCCAAAGGTATTACTGTCTTTTAAGAATTATTTTCAGCCGAAACCGGTTTGGCTCGGTGGATAGACCGTCAGCCTTCGGACTGAAAGGTCCCGGGTTCGATTCCGGTCAAGGGCATGTACCTTGGTTGCGGGTACATCCCCAGTGGGGGGGTGTGCAGGAGGCAGCTGATGGATGTTTCTCTCCCATCGACGTTTCTAACTCTCTATCTCTCTCAATCCCTCTCTGTGTAAAATCAATAAAATATATTAAAAAAAGAAGAATTATTTTCATCAATATTACTATTACCCCCCAACACACATAGTGCCTAATGGTGAAAATCTGGTTCAGGTGCCCCTCTCTAGCTTAGGAACCCTCTGGTCTGATAACGGGAACGTTTTCCCTACGAACACACGTTTTCCCCTGCTGCTATTCCCGCTTTGTTGACACATCCCACAGGAAGGGGCACGGAGTTCCATTGAATTCGCAGGTGACCTTGGCCTAGTCACTGAACTTCCCCCCTTCTCAGCAGGGAGGCGGCGATGTTTTTCCAGGCTGCTCGGCGAAGTTCTGGAATTTCCCACGCAGTGACTTTTACAAACACAAGGACCAGGCAGGATCCCCTTTTCCACACCAGCCAGTTTGAAAAGGAAAGGTGCGTGGGGATGGCCCTTAGGAGGAGGTCAGGGTTTCCCAGGCGCCGGAGGGATGGTTTCAGGATTTCAGCATCTTCTGTTGACTTCACCACCTGGAGGTGACAGAAGGCAGCAGCGGCCCAGCGGGGGCCACAGGCCTTCTCCCCTCCAGGCCCCCTCCCCCTCCCTGGCTTCCTGAGACAGGCTCCAGCCTCGGGTGTGGAAAACTTTTGTCCCCAGACATCCTCCAGGGATCCGCAAGAAGGAAGGCGCCTTGCTGACAGCCAGGAAGCGGCCTCCCTCCGGTCCTCTCCGCAGGACGCTGGGAGGCGGGGCGGGAACGACATGGGACCGGAGGTGTCAGAGCATCTGAGCGCTGGCTTCACCCACCTCGGCCTGCAGGGAGCTTTTCATTTTTCTCCTGGGGGGGCGGGGGGGTGCGTGTGCCTGTGTGTGCCTATGCATGTGCCTGCGTGTGCCTGTGCCTGTGTGTGCATGTGCCTATGCATGTGCCTGTGTGTGCATGTGCCTGCATGTGCATGTGCCTATGCCTGCGTGTGTGTGTGTGCGTGTTCCTGTGCCTGTGTGTGTGTGTGTGTGTGAGAGAGAGAGAGAGAGAGAGAGAGAGAGAGAGAGAGAGGTAAGACCTGCATGTGCCTATGCCTGCGTGTGTGCGTGTGGGTGTGTGTGTGTTCCTGTGCCTGTGTGTGTGTGTGTGTGTGTGTGTGTGTGTGTGTGTGTGTGAGAGAGAGAGAGAGAGAGAGAGAGAGAGAGAGCGCGGTAAGACCTGTGAAGGGAAAAGGAGCTTACAGGGCTTCCCACAGTGAAACGCAGTCTCCTATCCAAATAAAAACCAAGAACGAATGATTAAGAGAAACTGATTTCTCTGTGTTCTGGCTTGCCTTCAGTTAAGTTGTCACACGTTACCGTGGGGTGCCCATGAAGGTTAGATTCTCACAGGCAGGCGTTCTCATGACGTTGCTGAAATGTTTGCAGTTCCACCTGCGAGCTCATTCCCCTGAGACATGTTACTTAGAAAGACGTCACTGAGGACAGCGGTGCCCGTCGGTACAGGCCGGAATACGGTACCCGGAGCCCTGGGCTGCACGCCAGCCACAGAGGCTCCCTCTCCATCCACTGGCCTCCAGAGAAGGGGTGCAAAACCGAATGCTCTTCTGTCCTGAACCCCAACACCGCAGCTCCCCACCTAGGAGCTCGGGTACCCCCGGAAACAGCAGCTACTGCAAGGCGCACGGTGCCAAAGGACAAACGCCGTTTCCTACACAGAATCCGCTCCCGACTGATGGGAACGGGCGGCCACACACAGCTGCCTGCACACCGAGGTGTGCCATGTGGCCAGTGACCTGGACAAGGTATCTATTCACTCCTCAAGCCTCAGAGTCCCCTCGCCTGTGCCGTGGAGACCCCCGTCTCCATGGGGTGCTGCAGCAAAACATCCACATGACCATGCGTGCACACGATACATCTTACTTCTGTAGCAGTAGCGCTCTCTTGCCAAAAGTCTGCCCATATTTTACAAAACGTAAAAAAGGAGGGCGCAGCCAAAACCGGTTTGGCTCAGTGGAAAGAGCGTTGTCCTGCGGACTGGAAGGGCCCAGGTTCGATTCCGGTCAAAGGCATGTACCTTGGTTGCGGGCATGTCCCCACTGGGGGGTGTGCAGGAGGCAGCTGATCAATGGCTCTCTCTCATCGATGTTTCTAACTCTCTATCCTTCTCCCTTTCTCTCTGTAAAAAGTCAATTTTACATATATATATATATGAAGGAGGGCCCATCATAGAGACTAATTAAAGAGCCCCAGCAGGACAGCTCCCTGGTCCTTATCTTCAGTCACGGTAATTCTTAACCAACGGGGCCCCCAAGGAAAAGAGCAGACTGCCCTTCTCAGCTGGGAACCTCCCCCCTTTCACATTCATTAGGTTTCTGGCTACTGTGAAGGTGAAAGGAAACACCACTGATTGCATTCACACCAGCAACCCATTCCTAGAAAACACCCTTTAACCCGACAGCCCCATCTCCTTACAAGAAGCACCACCCTCCCTCACGTCTTAGGTTCCCCCACAGGCGATGGCCACAGGCCGGCTGGGAGGAGAGGGAGAAGCACGCTCCTCCGAATTGCACAGCCGCTGAGAGAGGATGCGGACCGAGCTTTCTGGGACAGAGTGTTGGGTTACCTGCACTTGACGGTTGAGCATTAGGAGCTCTCCTCTACCTTTATATCCAGAAACTAAATGTTCTCTCCTCCACCGGATCTCAATTCATGTAATTCTAATAACTGGATTATGCCAACATGAAAAAAAATAAACAAACACAAAAATCTCCTTTCTCCCCAGGTCTGCTTTATCATGTCAAGCACAGCTTGGCATTCTGTGCGCCTTGCTGCTAGCTACACCCCGAGGCCGGGTTCTGCTAGAATGTTCTAAAGAAGCGATTTATACATTTTCATCTCCTGGCACAAAACTAAATTACTAAAATTCTGAGGCACACCAAAAATATATATATTTTTGCCCATCTGACAAAAAGGTATAGTTTTGAATCAGTGATACCAGATGGCCATTGTGGTGGTGGCTGTTATTTTTTTTTAATTTTAATTTGACAATCAATCCAAGGGAAAATAGGTCAACGCCCCTGACTGGAATAGTCAGGTATTGGATGTTTTAAAAATTCTTGCGGCACCCTGGTTGAAAAGCGCTGCTCTAAAGCACCAAGCATTCAGTCTTGAGCGATCTGGCAACAGCCAGGGAGGAAAGGGAAACATCTGAAGTTATTTTTACTTTTGCAAGCCTTCTGGCTGTACAGGGTGAATGCTAGGGTGGGTCAAGTATTGTCTGGAGCCAGCCAGGGTCTCTCTCTCCCCCCCGCCTCTCTGCATGGCCTCATTTCCGTCTTCCTGTTGCTAGGAAGGAGAACTAAGCCTGAGAAACCCGTGTTTACAATACCGGGCCATCCTGTCCAGCACAGGGCCCTCTTCAGAACAGCGCCACCCACTCTGCCCACTGCACTCCGCGCGCCCCTGCCTTCTGGGCCAGCTCACCTCCACCCTTTCCTGGGTATTTGCAAACTGCATATTTACTCACCTAAGTCATAAAAATACCACTCTCACTTGAACATTGCATCATGGCTTTAAAATCTCCATGGGGACACCAAGGGAAACCCAAGTACTTATTTTTGTGTTTGAAACCACCTCTTGGAATCCCACCAAGCCTCTGACGGGCGGCATCTCACTGGGGCCTGCCACATCCCCTGTAAGCCCCCGCTCTGATTCGACAAATAAGAGTTTGAAAACAATTTTCACCCACTCACTGACAGTAATACCTTGTTTAATCATAACAGGTTTTTCTGTTAATATGGTATCTTTTCCAGAAGCAAGCAAGCGTCCTTTTTAAATGTAAAAACGTCCTTAAACAGTATTTGAAATGCAGTCGAGAATATTAATTTAAAAAAAAAAAAAAGAATGAAGAAAGGCTTTAGGTTAAAGTGCAACCAGCCTCTCACCTTTTTTTTTTTTAAAGTATATTTTATTGATTTTGTACAGAGAGGAAGGGAGAGAGATAGTTAGAAACATCGAAGAGAGAGAGTCATCAATCAGCTGCCTCTTGCACACCCCCTACTGGGGATGTGCCCGCAACCAAGGTACATGCCCTTGACCGGAATCGAACCCGGGTCCCTTCAGTCCCCAAGCCAACGCTCTATCCATTGAGCCAAACCGGTTTCGGCCAGCCACCCACCTTTGCTCCACAAACATAGGAAAATCTTTTGACCAGACCAGCACATTGAAACTTGGATCACTGCCTACAATGAGCCATAGTTAGCTACCGGTCCGTTCAACCCCTTCACTTTTTTTTAAAAAAAAGAATATATTTTATTGATTTTTTTACAGAGAGGAAGACAGAGGAATAGAGAGTTAGAAAGACTCATGAGAATCATCGACCAGCTGCCTCCTGCACACCTCCCACCGGGGATGTGCCCGCAACCCAGGTACCTGCCCTTGACGGGAATTGAACCCGGGACCTTTCAGTCCGCAGGCCGACGCTCTATCCACTGAACCAAACCAGTTTCAGCCAGCTTCTTCACTCTTTAAGGCACCCACACAGTGTTTCTCATAAGACCCACAACTGGGAAGGTGAGACATAAGGAAGTCACCCACACCACCTTTCCCATCCGCTCTGCGGAGAGGTTTAAATTGGGAGCTGCTTGTTCCCATCCTGCAGAGGTGGAAAACCGGGTCCGGCCCCTCTGGGTGTGTAAGGTGTCCCTCAGCTCAGAATTGAGAGCAAGACCCCGTTTTTTGTCAAAAGCAGCTGGGAGGGAAAGCCAGTCTACGCTGCTTCATCTGAAACTCTGACAGCAGTACTCATCATAAAAACATGCACGCCGGCTGGGGCCACGCCGAGTCTGGCATGATGCAGTAAAAGCTCATGCGAGCCATCGCCAACGTTTTCTCCCCAAATGTCTCGAAATAACTTCTGAGGGTACATCTGCTAACTATCTGACACTCCATCTCCAGGATCTCAGTTCTTTGATTGGGGGGGGAGGGAGGGGGGAAGGCTGCCGACTTCAGGGCGCCCCCCTCCGACCATCTGCTGAAGCCTGCAAGCCAGGATGGCATTGGGTGCCTGCACTCACTCCACCCTCCTGGCCTGCAAACGGCCCTGCAGGGCACCAGATGGACGCTGAGCTGGGCAGCCTCTGGAAGCTGCTGATAGATTTACACGCAGAGTTCTGCTGGTCTATTATTTCCCCTCATCCTTTCAGCAGGGTTTGGGGGGGAAAAATGTAATCTGAGACTCAGTAGCCTTCTGAGTAGTCTCCAGAGCTGGATTTATCTTTTTTTTCTACCCAAATGCGTCACAGATGCCACCCTCATGAATCTCTGTGTGCCTAGGCTGCATACCTTCCCCCTCACCGTGGCCGGGCCAGCCTCGGGATTCTGAGAATGAAATTTCCCGTTTGCTAACCCAGGCTGAGTGCATCAAGGCTCACTCGCGGCTGGCAACCAAACGGCCTTTTTTTTAAGTGTAAAAACATGTAGACTGACTGCACACCCGGGGGTTTCCTCCTACAACAAGCAGCGGAAAGTGGGTGTTTGTGGATCATCGAGCACCAGACGCGGCTCCCGGGAGCCGGCCTCCCGCCCCCGGGCTCCGCTCGGACCCCCTCGTGACCGGGCCGAGCTCCGGGCGGACACGTAGCGGGCCGGTCCCCGCAGCCCGGGGAGCAGCGCCCTCGGCGGCATCAAAAGCGCGTCCGGCCCGTGACGTCGGGGGTGGGGACAAGGTCACAGAGGGTGGCAGGGCTCCAAAAGGAAAAAAAAGAAAAAGAAAAAAAGTGGGGCCGGAGGCGTGCTTCCATCCTCTCGCCGCCCCGGGACCCGCTCTGCGCGGGCGGGCGCCCCCCTCCGGGGCCCGGGGCGTGGGCACCTCCGCGGGGCATTTCACGAACCCGTGACCCCGCAGCCCGGCCCGCACGCACCCCGCAGAGGAGCTCCCGGGGCGGCAGCCGTCAGGCTCTTTCCCGAGTTATTGCAACAAGACGGTTTGAAATGAAAACAAGTTTTTTTGATTAACTTACGTGCAGGGTTTTTTTTGTTTTGTTTTTTTTAAATTTCAAAATGCCACTTCGATCTAAACGTCCCTAAATAAATAAAGTTTCCTTCCGATGGCGAAGGAAAGCAAGGACCGGGCCTCAAGAAGATCCCCTAGAAAGCGGTCCTCGGAGTCAGAGGCCACCGTCGCCCGGCTCTGCACCCCACGCCTGGCTCTGCACCCCCAGCCCGGCTCTGCACCCCCAGCCCGGCCCCGGCAGGACGCTAGCGGGGGCTTCACCGCATTCCCCGCGGTCCCCTCCCTCCCAGCCCGCAGCCTTCCTTCCCGGAGCCCACGGGGCGCACCAGCCAGCGAGTCCCAAGCCATGAGCCCCCCCCCCCCCGCCCCCGCCCCGGAGACATCACCCCAGATTCAGACCTCCCTCCCATCCCCCCCAAACCCCCGCGGGTTCCCCACACTCCACCTCCTCCACGCCCAGAAGCTCGGGCGCCTCGGTCCCAAGCCTCCTCGGAGGGCGTCTCAAACGCACAGAGCGCCAGGCACCGACGTGACCAGGCGGCGTGACACTTCCTCCGCGGCGGGTCCCTTCCGCAGCTGGCTCCCGCGGCGGGCCCGGCGGCGAGGCACAGGTCTAGCTTACGTGTTAGGATCATGGTGTCCGGCTTCGTCCTGCACATCAAGTGCGGCGGCGGGGGGCGGCGGGCGCGCGGCGGGGAGGTCGAGGCAGCCCGAGGGGACCCCCGGGCTTCCGCGCCGCGGCTCACGGCTGCACCCACGCGCCCCAGCGGTCCTCAGCGCATCCTTGCGCGCCTCTGGGTGCCACTCGCCGCGGCCCCAGAAAGAACGGAGGGTTTTTTCAGAGGTGGAACTGGGAGGGCAGGCGAGGAGCCCGGGATCGGTTACTCCGGCTGCGACGATCGGCCATAGCCGGGCCGGCAGCAGCGAAGCGCACTCTCCGCTCCGGCGGCTGGAGCGCACTGCCTGGAGCGCGACCGCCCCGCCGCCGCGCCGCACAGCCCACCCCGAGGGGCGGGGCCTGGCGGGGCGGGGCCACCTGGCTCCCGCCCCTCCTCCCAGGTAGCCAGCCACTGCCTTTGGCAGCCGTCAGGCCCCGCCCACCCATCTAGCCCCGCCCGCTGCCACTGTCCCCGCCCCTTTCCTCCCTGCGGCCTGATTCGCCAGCCTCGGCCTCGGGCGGTCCTCTGGCCCCGCCCCTCGCCCCGCCCCTCCGCGGCGGGAGCTGGAATGCTATCCTGGGGGCTGTGCACGTCTGCAGCAGGAAACGCCTAAAGGTCTCCAGCTCTGGGAGCCGGAGGCAGGGGCAAAGGCTGTGCCCACGAGGCGAGGCGCCTACTTATCCGGGAGGTCTCCGCGGGGACCCCCGTTCCCCCGCGCACTTTTCCTGTTTATCTTAGTAGTTCTGCTCTCTTTTTGAAAAGTCTCAGCCATTCTTCCTTTTAGTCCATGGGAACCGCACAAATCTGCGTGAACAGAGGGGACGTGGGGAGGTAAAGGGATAAATCGGCCTTTTCTGGTCTGTGAAATGGGGAAAGGAGCAGTCCTTCTGGGCGCTGATTATTCATTGCTAAAGCCCCTCGGCGCAATGTAAGTTAATTAACACTGCTGTGGAGAAGGGTGAGCTTTTACAGCGCAACGCACGTGTTGAATCGGAGGTGTGCAGGCAGTCACAGCCAGTGTTTCTCAAATCCTGGCCCTTGGGCTACAACCTAATGCAGCTCCTGGAACTGGTAGGACCGGACCCCAGACTGCAGAGCTATAATCTTAACAACAACAACAACAAAATTTTTTTTTTAATGTTTTTATTGATTCCAGAGAGAGAAAGGGAGAGGGAGAGAGGGATAGAAACATCAATGATGGGAGAGAACCATTGATCTACTGCCTCCTGCACGCTTCCTACTTGGGATCCAGCCGGCCACCTGGGCAGGTGCCCTAACCAGAATTCAAACCCTGAACTCCTGGCTCATGGATGGAGGCTCAACCACTGAGCCACACCAGCTGGGCAGAGTTATAATCTTTGATAATAAATGATAATATGCATTTCTTCAAGTGCTCTGTTGATTCTGAGGCACTGTAATTCGAGGGCCCCTGAAATACTAGTAAGTCTAATATTTTTAAAGCTCATAAATGAAAACAATATAAGAAATTTAAAAGAATCCAAGCCAGTTCCATGAAAATTTACTTTGGGGCTAATTGATACTTACTGCCTATTACCTCTGGGCAAAGAAAACTACTAGTAACCTAAACCCATTAATTCAACAAACATATTGAGAGCATTTATATGTGCCCAACACTGTTCTAGGCTGCGAAGATAGAGCCGTGAGCATAAAGGACAAACACCCCATCCCTCCTGGAGTTTACTTCCTGGTGGGGAAGATGCACAATGAACAAGATGAATACATGAGCTACGTGTAGTGTCTTAGGTGGCACTCTATAAAGCAGGGGAGAGGTTAGGAGAGCTGGGGGCAGAGTCTACTTTTGAATTGGGGTAAATGCAAGTGGGAGAATTTAGTCTCTCTTAGTTTAAAATGTATTGATTTCAATATTTAGGTCTTAGTGTACTTACACAAAATTCTTTTCACATGTGTTTCAAAAACAATAAAAATCTGCTACCTCCACTACTTTTTAAAAAAATATATATTTTATTGATTTTTCTTACAGAGAGGAAGGGAGAAGGATAGAGAGCTAGAAATGTCGATGAGAGAGAAACATCGACCAGCTGCCTCTTGCACACCCCCTACTGGGGATGTGCCCGCAACCAATGTACATGCCCTTGACCGGAATCGAACCTGGGACCTTACAGTCCGCAGACCGATGCTCTACCGCAGAGCCAAACCGGTTTTGGCTACCTCCACTACTTTCACCCTAACTTACCCAAACCGGAATGAGGCTCTGAAGAGGGCATTTCCGGAAGGCACGGAGCTTCTCTAGTCAGCAATATGTCCAGGGCTTTCACCTACCTACAACTGCTGGGTAGGACAAGGGTCTCGAAGTCTGGGCTGTTCTTACTGAATACTATTCTTGATAAAAGTTCAAATGTAGGACAATATTTTGCAGACACAGCTGTAAACAGGATGACCTTGATAGGAGCCCAACCAGATGAAGTGTAGCCAAATGGAAAGAAGTTAACATGTAATCAATCAAATGGAGTATAGAAGCAATAGGAAGCTTTCTTTCCTCCAGACAGATGTGAATTCCCAAGGACACAAAGGTAAGCGAGAGCAGGCCCACCTCTGCCTACTCAGAGTTTACAGCCTAGTGAGGAGGCAAAA